CACGGAGATTTGCTTGTCCGCAGCGTTGCAACTACGTACGCATTAAAATATCTTCTAGGTGGAAGGAGGTAATATGGCACCCAGCAAAGGGCAGTCTATAGGGTGTGTGGGAAGTAAGTAGGCATTGAGAAATGATTATAACCTCTATATTTCCGATGCAAAGATAATAAAAATAATTTTTATATGTACCTTTTCAAATGGGAATGCCTACTAACATCCCACCCACTCTGTATATTACCAATCTGATGTTAATGGCGAATTATAATTACATGCAAAATTGCATAAAATCATCCTTAAGAGGTTAGATAACTTTTATAGAAACTTCTTGTTTCGCTTTTACGAATTAGGCACTGATCTGTTTTGCATTAGTATTATTTCTAAAACAATGACTTATCACTGAACGAATGATTTATGCTAAGGTTACTTACTGAAATTTTTTGAACTGTTAGATATATATCAGGGTGTATAAGATGATATTTAATTATGAATAGATAATGATTTGAAACGGGGATATTGTGGCCCCTTTCAAGATATCATGCCGTTAGCCCGGTGATTCTAAAGTGGTAACTATTTTGAACGTGGTGTCAGATGGAAGAAACATTGATTTGCGAATTTTTGAGGAAACCAAGTACCGAATAAACTGAGGTAAGCTTATAACTGAATAACAAATTACCATCTGATTTATTTTTGTTCTTTTGAGCATCGAAATTTATTTCGTCCCACGCTGTTAAGTTATGGGAAAGTCTGAGAGCGGGATGTCTTGATACTGTGTAGGGGTGCGTAACAAGGGTTGCTGCTCTACTTGTTCGCATAAACAGGTCACCCCCAGGGGTCAGTGAGCACAGGCCAAAACCAACCTTTCCATTTGAATCCCTTTACCTCATCCCAAAGTAACCTTAATTTCAGTTGTGCATCGTGAGAACTACTCACCCTCCGTCTGACGTCAATTTCTGTGGCGGAGACTTTATTTTATTTTATACATCACCCCTCCTTACATTTACCAAACCTCAAGAGAAGACTTGTCCTCTATTCTAAGAAATTCACGGTTTTACCACAAATATTTAAGACGGAAAAGTACTGGTGTGCTGCTTGTTAGGTTGAATTATCAACCGTGGGCGTCTCTTAAATGGATGACGGGATGATTATTGGGGAGGGGGTAACATTCCGATTCATCTATTTCGCCTGTCTCATTTATGACCTCACTATTAGTCTACATCTGCCCTTTTCACCGAATCGTGTCTTGTAAACATTTGATAGAAAAAAAGTGTTATTTTCATTTTATTAAAAGTTTACTTTTCCTTACGGGTACATTAACTGTGTCTCCCTTATCACAAATAAACATAGGCAGGGCTCCACATACCGAATGAAAAGTTCGTGGCGTTAAACAAATAATAAGTTTTGTAAAAATGCTGTAAAGGGTACAGATTACTTCTTTGCGTTAATAAATGACGGATTAAGTGAGAGGCGGGTAAAAATCGAGATATAACCACTTTGTATATGTTCACTACATATCTCATACGGAGCAATGTTGTGTCGAAATTAATTTTTGTTAACATAATATTCTTTTATAGTTTAGATGCGTCATGTTTGTGTTTAAAATTCAAATATATATTTATTATTCAAGTCTATACACAAACTTTTAAATTGTTGATGTTAAAATTTAAAATTAATATTAATATTCTGCGCCATTTATAGTTATCTCGATGTTACAATGTTGCGCTTTAATACTACTACATGTTTCAATGTCATAGCATCATCTTCAGGTTTTTATCTTTAACTCAAATGTTAATTATATTGTTGATAATTTCACAGAATAATGAACAACTAACATAATATACAACATAATATGCAAAATAATAAGAATATCAAAGGAACACCCACAACAGTAATCTACAATCTACAATCAATGAAAAGCTTGCATTAATAAATATAGAGTAGTTTTAAAATTTTTGGTACTTTTCTTCGTTTTGTCAAGACGTCTGTGGGCGCCACCCGGTAGGGACCGGATGAAGAACCCGGAGCACAAAGCATTTAGTGCCGGAACTCATCATTTGCTCACGCCCCTATATGCCTTCATGGCATGATGCTGCTTTGTCATAACCCGGAAGACACAATAATTTCTCGTCAGACGGAGGTAAATTTCATTTGCAATTGAGTGACAACCGTGGTTCTGATATGTTTCCTCTGACGTGTATTACGGATCTTATAGAACATTTATTTTCCGTTTTGTATCACTTTCTAATTTCCTACATGTTTGAGCAAATGTTTTAATTAACAAGTGATCAATCATTTTAGTGAACCTGTTGTGCGCAGGCTCAGTATTATGTTGCTTAATGCATTGTCATCTGGGGTTTTGTTGTCATGATTACTAAGGTTATTAAAACAACAACAGAAGCTATATAACATATATCTGTTAACACTTGTATCCAAGGGAAGGGCGCACTACAATTACGTGCCGGGTATATACAGTTACAATGACCGTTCAGTTTTAATTAACCGCATAGAAACACATACAGAGTGATGATACAGGTTTTAATGGCTTTGAAGTTTTGGATTGTGGAATTTTGAGTTGTAACGCCAGAGAGCCCTATTTCTTGGTAGGTGCTTAGCAGCCTTTCTAAGGAACCTACTGCTTTCCATGCACAGACTTCTACTCTGAAAACTGAGGCAGCGACTTCATTCAGAAAGACGTAACTTCTCTGATACAGACACACAGAACGAATCTGCTAAAGATTTAAGTCTTCTGAAGATGGCTGTCTTCTGGTTTGTAGCACCGTGTAGTCTGGTAGAAGTTGGCCGACGTTTCAGAGGCTCTTGCTGCCTCTATCAGCGCGCTACAACACAGAAGACAGCCATCTTTGTGTTAACGATCCGCACTATGTAGAGGTGAAGTATTATAATGCAACTTTCTCTGCGGGTCTCATACGTAATCTAGTTTCAGAGTTTCTAACAAAGGTTTTGTGGTGCCCCCCCCCCCCCGGTACTACCTGCTATATGGACAGACCGTCTGTCCTGACATCCTGAGCTGTACAATGTCTTGGGTGCAGAAAGGAACAGGTCAACGAGAGAGAAGAAATGGTCATAAAGAATAAGAAGTCAGATGAAGGCCAGTTCCCACGAAAAGTAGAGGACCAGAAGCCACCTTACGTGACTACACCATATTAACGCGAGTCTCCTCAAGTGAGCTATGAGCTTGCATTAGTGATACAAGGACAACTTCCAGATGCTAATGAACTCTCCAGCACTTGATTGCTTTAACGCTTTGTTTCTTTTCTGTCGTCCACGTGTACCTTTCCTGTTTTGAGAACCTTATTCTCAAAATGTAGATCCTACATGCTTTTATTTTAGGCTTATGTTTCATAAAAATTCGCTTCGTCCATCAAAAGGACTATATATTCTGTTTCATTGCGTCAATTCAGTCTTAGCTTGTCTTCTTCTGAAGGAAACCCATTTAGCAAGTGGTTAATAACCTGGTTAGGTATTGATCTTAACCCTGAAATACGAGGCATTGAGTTCCTCCGAAATGTTGGCAACAACCTACAAAACTAATCAGCGTCCAGAACTCAGAATACCGCAATCAACATCTTCGCCGTGAGACTCTCATATCTTGGATAGTTAGGAAGTCACTATTGTTTTCTAAATTGTGAGGTGTTGTGATTCTAAAGTGTGGTGTGACTGTTCAGAGAGAAACATTTACTGTCTGGCCGGAGAATTGACTGGATTCACCGTACCGCGTGCAGTCTATGTTCTGTATTGCCCTAATAGTTTTTTGTCACACACATGGTTGAGAAAAGGTCTCTACTTTGCATCTTTATACACACATGAGATCCCTTGAAAACAAAAACAAATCCGCACAGAGTTTGAAAGGAGATACATCGGTGTTATATGAGTAAACCATCCAGAAACACACCTTGTCTAATGTCAGCTATAATTTATTTTCAATTTTTCACGGCCACGAAGATTTTACTCAGACATTACGAAAGAATACAGTTCTGATAAAATTTTTCCAGTATATTGTTCAGTCGTTTATTTAACGATACACAATTTCGAACGGTAGAATTAAGATGAGTGAAGAATCAGGAAGTATGTGGAAGACGTGCTTGTTGTTTCCATAATTATCGCCCTGATAATGGAAGCATAAAGCACCTCCGAAACGCCGGATTATTTCTACCAGACTATACAACATCCCGGAATTCAGTCAGCTTCTTCTTTAAGCGATTTCATAACGGACGATTATCCACAGACAGTGCGTTACCCAAAGCTAATATTAACACTCAACCAGAAAACACCCTTACCATATCATCATATCATCCTGTCTGTACAGCAGGCCGCGACAGCTTCTGGACCACACCTCACTGTGTATCATTATGCTGGCATCCATCAGTGTCGTCACACAGAAAATTTGATGCACAAGATTATAAAATCAATTATTCTTTCGCTCTGAGGAAAATGACGATAATGGAAAGTAATAGATTTAATATTATAAATGATCCCTAGCACTGTCATCAAGGAGTCATAAAAAAGGCTCCTTCTGCTATGGATTCGATACGGAAAGCCATTACTGTTATTCTTTATGCATACTGAAGCATCCTCAAATCGGGCTCAGAGACTGCAGGAATACAAAATTTAGGAGCTTCTGACAACCACTTTCTGCGGAACGTAATTCAGATTCATTCACGTGACTGAAGAAATGTTATACAGGTGTGATCGGGCTAACAGCGGCGTGGGGGCTGTTAATCCATCCATAAAAACAAAATCTAAGTAACATTTTTAAGCAGAAAGTTAATGTAACAGAACAGCTGAGAAGTGAACAGGAGAATCGTGATCATTTCTTTAGCAGTTGTGTAATTTTCCTTGAAACGGACTGTACTTGTAACGCAGACGTTCTTGGTATATGCCTTTCATACTTCCGAGAGAGACGTTTTTGTAATTACATGCAAGAGGAACAACTTCTTGTGCAAGGATACTAATGCAAACGCTAGATCATCTTTTCACGTATAATGTCAGTTTTCCCTATTCACTGTCCTCAACCGAGCAATTCCTGAAGGGGTGAAGAATATCCTGAGGGGGTGAGGGTTTTAAAGGTTTTCTTGTCTCGTGCGAAAGGGTTGCGGACCCCGAAATCACGTGCGATGTTTTATTAATTATTTATGGGTTGAATATTTAGAGCAGTGGTAAGGGTTCTTCCCTCGTCTATCAAGGAGACAAAAAAATGTAGAGCACTTTTGTGGACTGCTTCAAACGGCAAGCAGGCAGACTGATGATCCTTTGTCGTTATTTTAACGGCGGAGCCTACAGAAAGTTTGTACTTCCTCCGTCAGAGGCTGCAGGTCTCCACGAACTGAATATATATGTTAATTTTGCAGATTTCTGCATTGTTAAATGAATGCGTGACGCTTGGGAGTTTTTATTTGATATTTTACGGACATGTGAACTGATTTGTATTGGGTTTCGCTCACGTGTTTCCCAACGGGACTGCCTCATATTAACGGCAGAATTCATTCACAAATGTACAAAGTGATTTGGCATGTACAAAGGGTTTCTTGTTCAACAAAATTTCCAATTTAATCCATGGTTTGACTGGTAAACTTTTATTTTCTCGTCTCATAACCTTTATTTCTTGACGAGACTCAAGCAACTGTAGAAAGGAGGTCCTTAAAGAAGGCGGAAAACTTTGTAATATTAAGTGAAACTTCAGTTTCTCACGGCGGGGAGTATGAAGATGCCTGTCTTCTGGGATATTGCACTGCGTCGTCTGGTAGGAGTTTATCGACGTTTCAGAGGAGTTTACTGCCTCCATCTTCATGATGCAAGTCATATAGTTTTCAGTTCAGCTCTGTTGGTCCCTAATGTTATGGCTGTTTGATTAGTAGGTTAGTCAGGTTATTGAAAAACTATCCTACATATTTGAACGAATGTGGAATCAAACCTAAATTATTTTATAGGATTGTGCGACAATTTTCCTTTCTCGTTTTGACATTTGGACCTTTCATATAGATGCAGTGAAGGGTTGTATTTTAAGAGCAAACTAATTTAATACACCTCAATACGCTTTAAGGAGAGAGGGCTAAACGAATTTAACTGTAACATGTTCTCATAGGTTTCTTGCATATATCACTGAGGGTTGTAGAATCAGATTGAACTTATACGTTCTAGTAAGCTCAACTGCACTTTCTAGCAGAGGGTTCCAGAAACAGAACTGCATTAAGATTTCTGTCTTCTGGGTTGTTGCGCTGTGTAGTCTGGGAGATGTTTACCAATGTTTCAGAGGTCATACTGCCTCTGTCATCAGAGTATGAAGATTTCTGTCTTCTGGGTTGTTGCGCTTTGTAGTCTGGTAGATGTTTACTAACGTCATCAGGGCGATCGCCCTGATGACGGAGGCAGTATGACCTCTGAAACGTTGGTAAACATCGACCAGACTACACAGCGCAACAACCCAGAAGACAGAAATCTTCATACTCTGATGACGGAGGCAGTATGACCTCTGAAACGTTGGTAAACATCGACCAGACTACACATGGCAACAACCCAGAAGACGGAAATCTCCATACTCACTGCTGTGAAAACCTCAAATCATACAGAACTGCATCAATTTCTCATTTGTTTCCTCGCAGTTTTGATAGGTGGTTGTAGTTTCTGAACAGATGAACTGAAACATTGTTTTTCGCTTTTTGGGTTAGAAGGTTAAACGCAGAAAAGTAATATGCCTCTGTTTCTCTTTACAGATATGGCTGAGCGATTAACAAATCTGTTGGGCCGTGGCGAACCTCTTGTCAGCATGGCAACAAGTGAAGACGAGGAAGACGACGTCGTAGTTAATGATGACGAGATAAATGGGCTGTGTGGAAGCAACATAGACGAGGAAGAATGGATATCAGGGGGTGACAACAATGGAGACAGAGATCACCACCTTCTGCTGGCAGGCTACTCCGATTGCATGACAGAAGCATTGCGTTACCTCGTGGAAGAAGAGAGGTACTCGCCCGAACACCCTGTAGTTGAAGGACTACGCACACATCTTGCGCAGCAACAAGATCGAGTGTTGTTAGAAGCTGCGCGCGCACATCACCATCATCATAATCATCGTCACGTGGTACATTTGGACAATTTGCGACCCGCGGCCAATAGTAATAATAATAACAACAACAACAATGGGGTTGTGGAAGTGCGCAATCGCATGACGCTCCTAGCGGACACACTTTGCAACTTCAGGCCACCGGCTGTATGAAGAACGGACTCCTGTGTTTCGAGTAAGAGCCTTAGGAGAGTGGCAGTTCAGTCGAGTTTGCAGATCTCGCCAATTTTTTGTTGAAATTAATGTGAATATAATAGCAGCTTGATGATACTGATACTGAGGCAGGGATCTGCATTATCGACTTTCCTTGGTCAATCCATTAAGGCTGTAGTTGATCGCAAGCCTTCAGGTGCTGGAGAAGATAAATTCAGATGGATGGTGACTTACTTTTGTGCAGGCAAGAACAAACTGAAAGCTTCTGATTAACAGAGATGTGTCCTTTAACGAGGAATAATGTTTGGACGAATAAGATGTAGGCACTAAAAATGACTCATTGCAGAATGTATCCATTTTGTAGAAGCATTTATAATGATGCATGCCTACTTCTATTTAGCAAAGTTGGAGAATTTGTTTTTTGTTCAAGGTGTTGTGTTTTGGAAGTCTAAACTTAGTTATAATTTTAATCTCCATACTGACTGTAATGAATTTTTAACATTTTGGTGTTTTGCATGAGTGCAGAACTTGGTTTGGTCTGAAGACCGGTATCTTCTGGGATAGAGCACCACGTAGTTTGACAGACACTGATGGACGTTTCAGAAGAGCTCAATGCGATTACTATAAGCCACACTTCGGTCAATGTCTGCCGGAATGCACGGTGCTACATCCGAGGAGTCGGTCGTCTTCTTACCCTCACCGCGAGCCTCACTATGGTCGGGCCTGCTCACGCAAATGAAAGAACAAAGATTGAAGATGTATGAGAAGAAGATTTCGATCTATAAAAGAGTAATACGAGAATAAAGAAAATTACATAATGAAGACCTCAATAATTTACACGCTTCACATAATTTTGTGACAGTAATATCTAAATCAAAGAAGATAAAATTGGCATTTTCAAATTTTGGTAAATGAATAACGTTATTTGGGAAACCTTAAGGTGTAAAACGTACAAAAATTAGTAGCTCAAGGTAGGATTAAACTGCTGCATTTTGTGAACAGGGTAATAAAATTCACTACAAGCGTGGACTATCTTTGATTAGCCTAATTATAACTTTCTCATCAAGGGTCAGTTGATTATTATTTTATCTGTCTATACACTACTGATTGGCCTTACCAGCTTACCCATATTCTTCTTAAAGTATTCTCCTTATTACATACGCATGGTCCATCTCTAATAGTTCTTAAATGTGGCTATAGGCAACTTTTCCTCTTTGAATTTTATGACTTCATTTTTTGTTCGTTTTATTTGTCGGCCTGATTAAAATACAAATCTGTTTCCATAACGCACGTTGGACATAACGCGATCTGAATAAAGAAAATACAGTCAGAGAAGTAAAACATATACGCAGGTATAATAACTACCAGTTAAAACGCCAGATAACTGTCAATTCTACCCCCAACCCTTAATTATAATTAAATCAACAATTTCTATAACGCGGTGTTTTACAGGGACGGATTTATCGCGTCATAGGAGAAATTGCTATGTTACGCTACTTACACTAACTTCGTCCTTTAAGTTGTTAAGTAACTATCCAGCACTCACTTAGAATTATCTACTGGTGATCGACCAAGTATTTATAAAAAGATGACGTGTCATCAGAAACCTCTAGTTCGATTCCGGCACAGAATTGCAAAAACGATGTTTGTCTCGTCTAGCAACATTATTGAAAGTAATTTCACATTGATTAATTGTATAGACGTTATTAGTAAACTTCTTTGAATGTACATAAAAATATGTTAATACGTAGTCTTGATATGTCGATTTTTTTATCTATATTTGTACGAAATTCATGTTCATTTTAAAGAAGACTTTTCTCTCCGACTTAAGTCAAAACACGATTACACTAACGGCTAAAAGAAATTTATTACATAAGAAAAGAGGAGTAAATATTTTTACTAGTCCAGCTTCCATTATGATTTTAGAAATAAATCCACTTTTAGAGACATTTTATAATTTTCTCTCTCTTCCTTCTCGTACATTCATTCACTTCTCTGCAAAAAAGTTCTCGGTATAGAAGCGGTAGTACTGAGCAGTGTGAACAACGATTTTCTACCTCATTTTTCATCGTCAAAATATTTCCTTTCTCCCTCTTTGTCCTCAGGAAGAAGTTGGCGCAAATGTGTCCCATGTAATAAGCTCCAACACGAAGGCTCTGTGCTTTTGAAATATCACCGCTTCTGCAGTTCAGGCTAAATAAATTGTAGTCACGAAGTACATTATTCTGTTTTCCTAAACAACATTAAAGAAATTTCAAAGTTAAACAAAATTAAACCTCTTATTTGTGTTTTGTAGCTCAATTCTCTTTGTTTCTAGCAATCTCACTCATTTTCTTTCCATTTCTCGGCACGAAACTAATGTCTACATGCCATCAGGGCTGCATCAAACTGTGAAACAGTAAAATGTCACAAAACACGCCGGCTTGAGCATTGTACTTTTTTATTTTTGTTACTGGTGACAGATTCTGAGCAGAAGAGAATGCCAGCGGAGCATTTTTTGAGCACTTTTCATTGTCCACATAAAATAATTTTCGAACTTTTGTATTCTGACATCTCTATTTTGAGGAAAATAGAGAATTACGTATTCTGTGGGACTCATTAGACAAAACTAGTTTTAATAACCAGACACTAGACGTCACGAAATTGCCTGCTTCAAGGTCACGGAAGGGTTTTGTTCCCGACCCCCTTAAACCCGACTTCAAGTCACTAATACGGCATTGATATATTTGCTACACTGCGAGTTCTGAGCTCTCCTCACTCACCTGAGTTCCGCAGTTCGTATTGCAACTTTGTACTTCTTAGCTGTAACCTGAAGGATGCAGTTTCCCTGAAAACTTTCTGGAATACACGGGACTTGCATATTATCCTCATAGTTCTAAATCAATCAATCAACACATTTTCGACTTACAAACAAATAATTTTTCATCGTTAAACGAATTCGAAATTAATTTAAAACTTGTAACTAAAATTTTGGTATAGGGAAGGACACTTAGGACTGACTGTTCTGAAAACAGGCTACCCTGATGCCCGAAATTATGTCGACGTGCCTTCCCGTTATATTATGTATTAATTTACACTTGAGCCTAGGGGATAATATGAGTTTTGGGCTCTGGTCTGGATCCAGAACATTGCTACAAATATTTAAAAAAGTAAATACATCTGTCAGTGTAATGATAAGACGTCTGAATGATGGAATAGAGTAAATTTCCGAAACGTCGTAAGACGTCTGAATGACGGAATAGAGTAAATTTCCGAAACGTCGTGTATATATATCATTTATTTATAGTTCATTTAACGATGTAGTCAATAGCTTCGATGATAGGATGATTATTGGAGAATAATAAATCGGAAGGGGCAGATCTCTGCAAGTTAGCGGCTGCGACTTAATGCAATGTACCATCCCGGGATTTCTCTGGAGAAACTGAAGAAATACCTCGAAAGTAAGCCCTCCGTCAAAATAGTCTGTTTTCGGGCTTAGATTTTAATCCGGGACCTCATGAAGACAAAATAGAAATGTTAACGAATCACCTTTTGTCTTGTTCTTGTATATTAAATACGGTCTACCTCAGATAATGAACAATGACAGAAATAATTACTGTATAATGAATAGCTCATTGTCACATACTATAGAAATGTAAGCCATAGATGCAAAATTTAGAAGACATCCAAGTTTCCTAACGAAAGAAGAATACGATTTATGCAAAACGCCAGTCTACTTCTGAGACTCTAAGACAAAGGATGTGAATATACATTACGGACCTAATACAATATACGGAAGGAAAGTTTACGAGAATAGTTCGCAATTAATAAATTACTTTAATGAATACGAATATTATTAACGAATTAAATTTAATCTGATACGGAAGTTGAAAGACACGCACTGAGGTCACTATGAACTATTAACTGTAATTAACATTCTTTATCAAGGTGTTGGGAAATAAGACTCTTCTGACTTACACATATGACATAATACGAGCGACATTTTAACGTGATTTCTTGATTTTACTCTGCAATTAAGCGTGCCATCTGAGTAATGTATATTTTTTCCATGTGGTGCAGATATTTAAATTCTATGCCTCTTCGAATGAAAGCATTTATGAATGGTTGCGTGGAATTATTATATTATTCATGTGTGAAACGAGAAAAGTTTATCCGATATTTTTAGTATATGTAACATGGATGATAAAGAAGAGAAACCATTAAAAATATATATTAAAATTATCCGTCATTCACAATATAAAATAATGAAAGTTTAAAATATCATTTTACGTTCCCTATCGAGTACTCGATTTACATGTGGAACATACACTTATTTTATATTGTGAATGACGGATAATTTTAATATATATTTTTAATACTATTAATCACAATATGACGCATCTACAATATCTTAAGAGAAACCATATTGATGTGCTTAGAAGGAACTATGTAAATACCAGTAAAACTGAAAAATACCGATTAGAATTTCCTTGGTGAAAAGAAAAATTCCTAATGGTATTTTATAACATCAATATTTACCTAGTTCCTTGCTTAGGTCAACAAAATCTTATTCTTCTCCCACCTACATTGCGTGTATGTGTGAGTGCTCACACCAGCGTTTCAGTCACACTGTCTCTCGATGTTATGACTGGTAAAAGTTTGTAAATACTTTTTAATTATTCACTTCGTTAAAAACATGTATTATGAGAGAAAGAGGAAAAATGTAAAATAATATCGTGAAACGTAAAAATAAATATTTACGAATCCAACCAATCTCTTGTGTTTGATGTTTGTTAAGTCTGGTTCCCTGTACTTTACCTGACCAGGTGACACTAGCTATCCATTTTCCGTAATTTCTTGAAGAAATTAATTATGACGTGATTTATACTTCTAAAGATTGTCTAAGACAACGAAGGATGAAGGATTGTGGCCATACGAAAGCTGTAGTCAACGAGAAACTAAAAGAAATAATGAAAGAACAGATTTCGCGATTCAGATTCTGTAAGAATCATTACGTCATTCAAATAAAGACGTTCTAACGCGCATGAAGAGGGGTTCAATTTCTGATAAGGCTGGGATTATGCCCTTCAGACCGGCACTGCGGTGTATGATTACCGGGAACTTTGTTTCCACTGATATTGCGGGCCGGAACGTGAAACTGAACACTGCATCCATCTATATCCGCATCTTCTAATACGGTATTATCAAACATCAAATAATTTTTGCAAATAGTACAGTACACTGCCTGAGCTCCAGAAATACTCATTTACGAGTACATTCTGTGGCTTCGTGGGAAGGGCACATTTCATCAGGAACATTTTACTGGACCTAAAAATTGGTATACATTTATAGCCCCTCCAGAACCTGTTACACCTTTAGTTCGCAAGGTGTGGGCCCCTACTGGGTAGTGTGGGTGATCATCTGGCAGACTGACAGCAACAAATTGTCGCCGTTTGCCCTTCCATTGGCTCAAGTTTCTACGTCAGGCTAGTATCAATTTCGGTTATCTGAAAACCTACGAGAATTCAGGGCGGCTGCTTTGGATGACAAGGGCCAGATTTGAGAATAGGTCACGTGAAGTAGGGATTAGTGCACTGCTGTGTTGTAAAACAGACAGAAACATAATGAGTGAAAAAGGGAATAAAGAGAAAGAAGAGATTGAAGAAAGGAAGAGCTAAAAGCAAACTCAAGAAGAAGAAATCAAATTATAAATTAAAGTAGGGAATAAATTAAAAGAACGAGAAAGAAATAAGAGTAAATCTCAGAAGAGAATAAAATGTAAGATGAAAGCAAAAACGGAAACTATAAATATATTTTCTCTAAGTCACTACCTGCGAGGCAGGTGAAAACAGATGACCCTAGCAATCTAAAAAAAATAAGCAAGAGGTCGTTTACCGCTTCTTTAAAATCGTCTTTTTCCGTCTGCTTCATAATTCTTGTTCCACTTGGTCATTTTTTTACATTTCTGCAAAGTATGTTATATATTATTTCCGTCACGTATGATCAAAATACAACGCACTTTCCTGAAGAAACAACAGGATGTCAGGATATAGCACTTGGTGCAGAGATCTGCTGTTCTCTTTCAGGGCAACA